CTTATCTCTGATTCAACATCTAAATGTTTACATGCATGCTTATTTCATCACCTGGCCTGAGTAGAGGTGGACAAACTTTCCAACGATGGCTGCATAGGTTGCAACTTGGCCCCCAAGGCACATGTCAACGGCCAACCTTTCAAAGTCATGGGATGCTTCAGCACTTGTGGATACATGGTCCACCAAGCTGGCCATGAGCTCAACCTCGTTCTGGTGGGCAAATGTGCAGTTGGTGGAATTGTTGGCCTTTTCAATGAGTGATGGTAGCCTGGGGAATGCTTCCTCCACATGGGCTGCTATAATGGTCCAGGTCCAGCCTACTGTGGCCATAGTGTGGAGAGTCTTGTCCTGTCTGAGCAGCACTGGGTTCAAATGGCCATCTGGTCCTTTGAGGGATGGTTGGTCAGTGACAGCTCCAGCAACAATTGCTTTGATGAACTGGCTGGTGTGGGATGAGCTCACAGATAGGAACCGCTCTGCACCTGTCGGCTTGGCCATCATGCCCTGGGACTCCTGGTGCAGCTTTGCATTGAAATCCAGTTGGGCCTGTTGGGCCTCAGCATGGGTTGCCATCTCAAAGGCACAGCTGGCTCCCAAATGGGACAGGTCAGCCCCAGATTTCACTATGGCTGCACCCTTCACATGCATTGACCCGCTGTTGATGCCAGTGCCTCCTCGATTGGATGGGTGCACCAGCATCAGAGTTGGCAAAATTGTTTGGGTCCAGCATGCTCCTTCTTGGGTCAAAATCTCATGGATGGACTGCCACTTCAACAGGTAGCCCTGATGGGTATCATCCATGATGGCCTGGATCTTGTCCTTGAGGCTGGCACTTAGCACCATGGCGGCACAGAATGGCAGCACTGTCAGGTACAACCAATTGCGTGCACATGTTTCTTCATAAAGGGTGTGCTTGCATGCTGGCTCACATCCCAAACAGTTACTTTGTTTCAATGCGTAGGTCCTGGATTGAAAACGCTGTCAAAGTTTGGCGTGTGATATGTTTTGCAACGCAGCAGCAGTTACTAGGCAATGAGCCAACAGCTTGCTTAGCCAATTCCACACTGAAGTCCTGCATGGGTAGCCAAAGCTTCAACAACTCATTGGGGGCCAAATGGGGCAGTCAAGACATGATAATGGTTGTGGAATGCAAATGCACGGGTGGGCAGCCACACATGGCTAGGCAAAACATGGGTAGCCAAAACAGGCTTGACCAAGTCATGGGCTGTCATACATGTAGGCTGTGTCAAGGCATGGGTAGCCAAAACTTCAACAACTCATTGGGGACCAAATGGGTCAGTCAAGACATGATACTGGTTATGGAATACCAATGCGTGCGTGGGTAGCTATTTATCCCTACGCATAGCATGGGTAGCCAAAATAGGCTTGACCAATTCATGGGCTGTAATGCATATAGGCTGTGTCAAGTCATGGTAGCCGAAGGCTTCAACAATTCGTTGGGGGCCAAATGGGTCAGTCAAGAAATTATAATGGCTGCGGAATGCTGATGCTGGGCTGCATCGTGGGTAGCCATATATGGCCAGGCAAAACATGGGTAGCCAAAACAGGCTTGACCAAGTCATGCATGCCTATCATGCATGTCGGCTGTGTTAAGTCATGAGTAGCCAAAGGCTTGGCAGTGTCAAGTCATGATTTAGCCAGAGGCTTGGATAAACATGGTTCTGACATGAACGCTTGGCAAAACAAACACGAATGATGGCATGTCACTCCTTTGCGCAGCTGCTTTGTTTTTCTCGCCTTGGCATCATATGGGTGTGCAAATGGTACAAGTCTTTGGCATGGCTGCTGTACAGTTGGCCTGGCCCACACACTCAATTCAGTAAATGGTGGGCCTCTGCTTGACTGGTGGCAATGGTACTTTTGCAACTGGGAGTGGATGGGCCATGGCCAAAGAGCACTGGCTTGTGGTTTTGGGCCCCAACTACGTGTATTGGTAGTTGGGGTTGTACTACTTGGGCCCAGCAATGGCGCTGGTGGCCCATGGAATGCCACACATGGTGCAGCTGGGCCACGTCTCGTTGAGGTAGTGGCGATAGAAAATCCACGATGGGCACCCTTCCTTGGAATGTGGCTTGGGCTTCTCCTGCTTGGGCAAGCTGGGCAGGTCTCCATGGCCTTCATGGCCTTCATGGCCTTGATGGACTTCATGGCCTTCATGGCCTTCACCTTCATCGCGTTCATGGCCTTCATGGCCTGCACAGGCTTCATGGCCTTCATCGCCTGCAGAGCCTTCATGGCCTTCACTGGCATGGGCTTCTTGGGCTTCATGGCCTTCACTGCCGTCATGGCCTTCATGGGCAGCTGGCCACTTTGGTTGGCCCCTTGGCCATGGCTTGGAAGGAGGAGATGGCTGGCACGCACTGATCCCAAATGGCTACCCGTACAAGGTTTCACATTGGCAACTGCCATGCCATTAGCCTGGTGGCTTGGCGGCTTGACTGCATTGCTATTAGCCTGATGGCTTGACTTCATGCCATGTGGCTAGCCTGCAGGTGGCTTGACCTCATGGTGGGAGCCATGTGGCTTGCTGCCACAAAGCACATTTTGGGGATTAGATTCTTGCATGCGTTTTTCAAGCCAATGCCAAGGCTACAACATTCAAATGCACTGCCAGTGAGGGCGCGTCCTTGCAGCCAATGCCCATAGGTTCTGCACCATATATTGCCCCAGCAGCTACGCAAAAACCTTCTGGGTTTGACAATCGATATCCATTCTGACCACAAAGTTTCATTGGTGCACCCACATGGCAGCCCACCTCTCTGTCCACAACATGTTACCCAGCTGCTTTGTCCAAGAGAGGAAGCATAATATTATGAAGATGTATGGCCAGACCATATCCAACACAGTGAAATTCGATTAGTCGACCATGTAGGAAATACTTTGCAATGATTTATTTGTGCTCTCAGAAGCCCACCAACAACATGCAGAAGTTTCAACAGTCCCACTTTGACCAGGAAGATGTGTGGGTGTGTATACCTGCAACCAGCAGGCCATTGCTCTAAAGATGATGTGGTGTTTATCGAAGAGCATGGTGGCCATGTACAAGTTGGACAAGTCCACAGCCATGCCAGCATGGGTTGTGAAATGTACAGCTTTAGTGTCAAGTTGTGAAGAAATACCAAAGGACAAAAAAACCTGGTGTGCTGTTTGCAAGCCAACTGACCAAGCAGCCATCGTAAAAACATCACAATGCTGTGTGCCACAAGTTGGTGTCAGTTCAGGGCCCATGCGAATGCAAAGTTCTTATCCCGTTGAGGGCTAGGTGGGCGCGTGTTGGCTGAATGGATTGAGCAAATTAATGGTTGCTTGTCAGTTGCTTGTCAGCAAACCACAGGGCTAGTCATTCAAGCCTGGTGTTTGCTTGGCTTTTGTGCATGCAAGCCATGTAAAGTGCTAGGCCTTCAGGCTACTGTTGCCATGGCCATGGCTTTGCCAGATTGCTTTTGCTTTATGGTCAAGCATCAAGGCTTCTGGTTTGATGAACTTTCCTCAGCTTGACAGTATATAGGTCCCATGTGAGTACTGAACCTCTGGCTTTCATTGCAAACAGTGAACTGGAATGGTGAAGCCTTGTTGGATGAGCAGGTCCTTGGTAGCCAGCCAGGCTTAAACTTACAACCAAGATGGTGCTGACACACGCAATGAAATTCATGTCATGGTAGCCATCTGGCTCATGTTCCATGAAGATTGCATGTCGTGGTAGCCACCTGGCTTATGATCCATCAATCATGCTTATGAGCAGCATGAGCTTGCCTTGACTGGTCACGCATGTGCTTTTGTATCATGAGCTCATATGGCTTATCCATTTTAATAAATGCACATGCACAGCTTTGATTTGCATAATGCTGAGCAGCACTGCCAAAGCCTATATCTATTTTCTCAAAATGCTCTGGTGAGTCTAAACAAATTGCTGCCAACAAGGCAGAATAAAAAACCATAAATCATATGTTTGACCATCACTCCAAATGTAATAAACCTAGCATGTTTTTTTTGCTAACCACTTAGCTAACCACTTAGCTAACCCCTGGCTAACCCCTGGCTAACCTCTTAGCTAACCCCCTAACTTAAGCCCTTAGCTAACTAGTTAGCATTTGTTAGTATATATTATATCTTTGCCCCTATGTCCTACTAACTCTAGCAAACCCCCGGTGCATCCCAGCTTGGGTGGCTTCAGCACGTAAAGGCAGGCGCCCAGATACCGGCTCCGAGCTACCTGCGTTGTGCATGCGCGCAAAAACTCACAGACAGATCCTGCGCATAGAGAATTGCCTGGACTTTCACAGAGAGCTTGCGCGGAGACTCGTGGAGAGAACTTGCAAAGGGAACTTGCGCAGACCTTGCGTAAACCACCGGCGTGCGAGTACTTTTGCTTAAGACTTGGTCGGTGTCTGCTTTCCGGCCACCCACTGTCTATGCGTTTCTTCTCTTTAGCGCGTTCTTAACCCTGACCCTTCCACACCACCCGCCTAACGCAAAGCCCCCTCCACCCCACCACTCGTCCCTTTAGGATATTTAAATCAACTGTTTCACAGTGCTTATGCAGGGGATGGCCATACCTATCAGCTAAAGTGCTATCACCATGTTTTCAGAAGTGGTATGCGTTGAACAATGGCCCACATAATGTTGTTTCGCCCTGGTTGGTTCGAGAAGTAAACCCACCACATCCAGCCACAACATCCTACCAGGCTGCCATTGCTCCCTTTGGCCCTTCTGCAGCACATTTCTATTGGTTGATTCCTTGTCCATTCTTTTCAACCATCGTTCTTTTCAAAAACCGGATCTGTTTCTCCTGGGTTTTTTGATGGTTTTCTGAGAAGAAGGATCCGTGGAAAGAATGGAATTGGAAGCTACCCCAAGAGTCTTTCATCTGCTTAAGATTTGTTTAAATCACCCTTGGTTTTAAAGGGAATCTGTCACTACTGGGCATTTGTTTAGGGGAGCTACCCCTACAAACTGAGAGCCCCGCCGCCGTTTCGGAGGAGTACATCATGAATGCTGGCCACCACGGCACGGGCGCTCGGAAGTTCCCCCCGGTTCCGCCGAACGCTCGGCTGCGCCAGAAGCTGCGGCCCCCCTTGGAGAAACAGGACCTGCGCCCCGGATGGGAAGAGTCATGTTGAGCCCATAGCAGGGCTCCTTAAAAGAAATTCATGTTGCAACCATTTGAAACATGGTTCTGTTTCCACCAAAATCAAGTGAAACCACCATTTACAAGGCCAGGTTCAGGTGTATAGTGTGAGGATCCCTGCATAGGTGTCCTTTTTGGATGGCGATGCCTGGTTCACCTGGTGGTTTAATCATCTATCAGGGCCATCTATTTCCCCTAAAAGGACACCTGTGGTTGAGCCCCTAAAAAATAAATCCCTGTTTATCAATATGGGGGTGTTCCCCTCCAAAAGTGAGAAACCCTCACTAAAACCAGGGACACCCCCCATATGAATAAGCAGGGGTTTATGAATCCGGGGTCAACATTATAAAAGAGTGAGTGTCTACGAATTCCCTGGGGACGCAACCTTTTTTTGTTTAGAGCGATAGTTGAAACTAATGGGGAATCAAGCCCTGGACTAACATCATGGCAGTTTGGTCAGGATTTGTCATGTTGGGCATCTTATCGTGAACTTGTGCTACTGGCCACCGGGTTGGATCCTTAACTTTGAACTGTTGGTGAAAATTACCATGTTACCACCATGCTGCCAGATTCAAAGTTTTGGGCAGAGGGCGCTCAGCATGGGAAGCCGAAGTCGGGCAGGCTTCGGTATGTGCCAGGGAGCTGCCAAGCAGTCCTGTACTGCTTTGTCTTCCACCTGCTCGGTCTCAGTCATCATGACCAGCCGTCAGTCATCATGATCAGCACCGCAACACTACCACCATCACCGCAATCATCATGATCCTCATCATCCTCACCGTAATCATCATCATCATTGTCAGCGTCAGCATCAGTGTTGCAAACAGTCACCTTTTGCAATGCTTCATTCGACACCGCGCTACCAAAACACCTCCTCACGGCGACTTGTTCCTCGTTCTTCATTCATCCACCATCAGCTTGTGTTCCGCCACCGTCATCGCCACCTTGCGCATCATGCAACCTTTTGCATCATTTATCATGTGCACGCAGCCAGGTTCCATGAGCATCTCAGACTGGCTTCTTGTTTGTCATCCTCTTCGTCTTTTTCCCTCCGCCTCCCCACCATCCTCATCCTCATCCTCATACTCTTCATCGCCATCGCCATCAGCATGATCCTCCTCGTCCTTGTCATCGTGACCATCATCACCATGACGAGCAGCACCACGTTTCATCGTCCACCGTTTGGTTCCACCACCTCATGTCATGCTTCATTGTCACCCTTCATTGTTGCTTAGCATTCAAATATCCTGAAGGGCGATCAATCACAGCAGCAGCAGTTGATACCAGAATTTCGGTTGCCAATGCTGCGTGGCATTGGGTTGCAATTGGTTGCACTGCATTTATTTGCCTGCCAGTTGTTTCAGGGTAACTTGCGTTGATTTTCATAGGGCTGATCCATGAAACACGGTGCTGCTTTCTGTTCTCAGGGGTCGTACACAGACCTGTCAGCGCTGTTTGCTCTGAAGCAAACTTCGGGACTTGCATTTGTTTGCATCGTTTGCGGGTTCCCTCCTGACAGCCAACATGAAGGCTTCAAAGAGAGACGTGTCATCAGATGGGTAAAGCAAACAGTCTCGAACATTCTCAGTGAGCCCTGCAATGGTCCGCTTGCAGTTTCTAGCGGGGAATTGGGGACAGATTGGATAAGCTGAACAGGTTGGGACTGTTGCTCCCCGAAATTCCTACTGTCCAAAACGGGCCAACTATGAAGTATTTGGTGTAATCTTGCCTTGGTAAGGCCTATTCATCCTGAAGTGTTTGGGGGTGCTGAGGTTTGAGCAGTGGCTCCTGGATCATCCGGACTACGCAAAGGGCATCTCGAGCGAGTGGTGCGGCCAGAAGATCGTGGAACAACAGCTCGGTCACCTCAGCGAGGAAAAATGAAGCGAGCTGGCCATGTTCGAAGGGTTTCATAGCGGCCAGGGTCCAACACCCACCAAAAGTGAGGACTTCCTGCAGAAATCGTAGCGCTGTTCTTGGGGCTGGCGCAACAAATCCAAACTCCGGCCGCTTCAAGAGGGAACTCCGGTGATGTCCTGGAGCCGCCGGGAAGAAAGGGTGAAGTCAACATGACAAAGAAAGTTCGGCGCCTGGTTGGTTCCATGTAGGTCCTTGTCACAAGAAATACTTGCAGTTGGAGGTGGCCAATGCGGAGGTTGCGCCACCTTTGGAAGCCAATTGAAGCCCTCCAAGCTGTGTTTCAGTTGGTTCCCTTGGCCCAACGGGGTATGAGTGTCCAGCTTGTTCTGGCGCCGCAAAGTTATCCATCATGTCCATGGCGTTTGGGCAGGTGGCAGGCAGAGGTGTCGCAGGATTTCAGGTTAAGCCAAGGAAAGCAGTGACTGCAAAAAAGGGCATTGCACCGGCCCCAGCCCCGTGTTCAATCTGGAGCCCGCTTCGTCGTCTTTCCACGGACCTCTTAGCTCAGAATGGAGTTGGCACAAAAGTTGCACACGGCGAGCCACGTGCAACTATTGTGCCACTTCCTGGTCCCCGTTTAAAGGCGGTGGCAGATGTCGCCAATTTGCTGCACGCTTCAAAATCTTCAGAGTGGTCGGTTCCTTTCTTTCTTGGGCTTGACTTCCCATGCTCTTCAACCATAGTTTTTTTCAACAAGCAGCTTTTTTGTTTGTTTTTCCTTTTAAATAATGGTTGCCTGAAAAGAATTGCTGGAAAGAATGGGGAAGCTACTTCTAGACTCTTGGGAAAGTATGATGGAATTCACGTTTAGAGTAAAATCACCTGGGCCTTTGCAGATCCTTTCGGTGAGCCTGCTTTGAGCCCTGCTTGTTGCTGCCTGCGTGTCAGCTACAAAGATAGATACCTATGAAATGAGGCGCCTTTGTACTTATGCATTTTGCATATGTTCATACGAATATGTTTTCATATATATATACATCGATGTGCTAAATATCTATACATAGCTATAGATATAGATATAGAAATAGGTGTGCTTATATACAAATATGAATGCATACATATGCACAAATGAATACATGTATATATATATATATATATATGTGTGTGTGTGTGTGTATACATATACATGAATGGTTCACGTTGATGTATGCCGTTGTGGGTTGACCCTGATAGGGAGGTCGCCCGTGGCACAATGACACAGCTGACCTTTTTTTCCCCGAGCTGCCGAGGAAGCCTTGATCGATGCCTGGGCCGAGCAAGGCGAGCCGAGTCAGGCCTACGGGGTGCTGAAGCTCATGACGGAGGCTGCGGGAGCAAGACTTTGGGTCGGTTCTGTGCATGTCGCAAAGGTTGTGTGTCTGCTTCTCAGATAGCTGAGAGCTATAGGGATTCTAACGTCCAATAAAGAAGGGGAAAATGATTTGTGAGATTGGCTGGGTGCTAGCCACTAGACCCCCTGGAACAAACCTCGAAAGGATTCTTGCCACACATCAGACGAAATAAGGGGTAAACAAGCCCAAAATAGGCTTAACCATCATGATTGGTCTTTGAAATTTCGGTCTGGGGGTCAGCTGCATTTCGTTCAAGAGATGCCCTTATAGCTTCAACTTTGACTTAGGCAGATGCACGACTTCCCATTTGAGATTTCATGCCCACTGACAAAAAAGAGAACTGCGCAATCTACTCTTACAGTGGTGCAGGAAACCTGTCTTTTGCACCAAAAAGCACCAAAAAGCAGGCCGTGGGGTCAAATAAACAAAACAGGGTCTGAGGGTCTGTTTTCTGCAGTACGCTATTCCATGCAAGGTGGCCGCGTGACTTATAAGCAACTTGCAACATCACTTATAAGTTCAATAACGTGACCTGTAAGTGGGGCAAGTACATCCTAACTACGATAAGTTCGGGGGAAACGTATATGTTACTTAGGTACTTAGCAAGCACTTAAGTAACTTTGTGCAAAAAGTTAGAAACTAGTTAGGGGCTAGATAGCTTTTACGATTTTGGAATCGATTCTTCTCGGGGCACAAATAAGTCTCCCGTGGCTTTCTCAAGTATATTTTTAGAAGTGAGCACGCGTGAACTGCTGAAAAGCTGCTCCCCAAAGTATCACAGTGCCTCGGATCGCAAAACCATTGTTTTTGTTGATCTTCTGGAAAGCTGGGGCGTGCGCCGGCGTCGCCTTCATCATGTCCATAGGAGGATCTATATATGTACGCAATAGATTTTGTCAGGAGCATCCATTCAGGCGAAAAACACATGCGTGCGCGGACGTTTTGAAAGTGCACGTGTAAAAGGACTACGCGCACGTCGACCACGTGCAGCTCTGTGATCACTCGGTATAGCGGCCGCGCCGCTTTGTGATCACGCTGTGCGTGACAGCAGCTCAATTTCAGCCGGCAGCAGGGTTCTGCGCATTTTCTATAGCGGCTGCGCCGCTCCGGAATGTATAAAGCGACACAGCGACGGCGCCGAAGGCCCCAGCAAAAATGGACAAATATCTTCTGCCACGGCAGCGATTGCTCGCCATATTCTGGCCGCGGATGCGGCATCCAGAAAAGTATCTGCCGCCTTCAGGCTGCCACTTTTTCGCTGGCAGGCGCCAGGATCCCGACTCCTGCCACCCAGACTGGCAGCTGCCAGATCCAGCTCCGGACTGGCAACTGCCAGCTGCAGACTGGCAGCTGCCAGTTCGAAACTGGCAACTGCCAGCTCCAGTCTGGCAGCTGCCAACTGCAGAGTGGCAACTGCCATCTCCAGACTGGCGGCTGCCAGCTCCAGACCGGCGTGGCAAACAGCACTTGAGGCGCAGTGGCCCATACGCCTATGCAGTCTCCTTCCAAGTGGCGGCATTTTCCGAGGCGTTTTTTCTCTGAGCTGTTCCTTACTGTTGGTAAGTTGTTGGCAACCGTTCAGATACAACCCACTTCTAAGTCCCCCGTGGCTCTGAGGTTGACAACTTGCTGGGTGAAAAACGTAAAATGTTACTGTGGATGGATGAAATCCATTTCGCGCCACGTAAAAAAGCCAGACATGATTTGATTCCCCCATGCACATACCAGCAAACACTGGTTTCAACCATAGGTTCAAAGTGGTGCGAACGGATCCATCCACTTGTTGGGTGAAAACCTCAAGCCTTACTGTGGACGAAATCCATTTCGCGCCACCCAAAAAAACTGAAATATTTTGATCCCCCCTGTAAAACCACCACAAACGCCATGGCTTCGACCAGGATTTCCCTTCGCGACCGCGGTCTCGGATCTACGTCGAACGAGGCCTTCGCGCCCACGGCGGTGTCCTACGCGGCGGTGCTGAAGGCCATGGTCCGCGCCGGCCAGGCGTGGTGGAATGCGGGTGGTCGCGTTGATGGTTGGATCCGAGGGCAGGCGTTTCAGGACACCGCGAAAATTCACAGGTGCTTTGCCTGAGAAAAAACAGGAGGTGGGCTTTTGGGCTGGCAAGAAACAAGACTGAAAGAATAAGAGAAAGAAATTGGGGGGGGGGGGGTGGTTTTGCCGCATACCCGCTTTGTTTGCAACCAGATACGAAACCAGGATTAAGAACCTCCGCAGCCAACATTTAGGGAGTGCCCCTCGTCTACCGAATGAAGTCTTGGGGAAACACCGCCAATCCAGAAAGCGAATTCATCCGAGGAATGAGGAGAGGAAGCAACTAGGATCATATGACCTTCTGGGAGCTTGGTGTTGGACAGGGTCCCTGATGCGGGGTTAGTCCACTTGCGGCAAGCCAGAACGGGAAGCCTTGTGCAACTTTTTGGGTGCTTGGCAACACACCCCTTTCGCCCTTGCAGATTGTTTTTAACTGACATCACAATTGGACGGGGTCAACTTTGAGTGAGTTGTCCTTTCATGTTAACTTCGGATGAATCCATGGCTCCCTACTTAGCAGAGGAACCCGATGAACTGCCCACTAGAGGTGGAACCTCAGCTTCTAGCAATATGATAGCACGTTCAGAGATTCTAGCTTCTTGTTGTGATTCAATGTTTTCGTTGTTGGTAACGCTCGTCGTGCCGCTTCTGCCCTCGTTGTTTAGTTGCAATGCTTTCTCCTGTAGCCGGGCTTTGGCCCCTTTTGCAAACCCAGCGGCCACTGTGTGCAATATATTGCTTTGGAGTTTGGCAAGCTTACTGACATTTTGATTGTATTGGGCATCTCCTGCTTGGATTTGCCGGGGGGGCAGGCCGGTTCAAGGCTTTCGTGCTTGTGCGGTATGTGTTAGTTTTTTGGTGTTTGCTCCCATCCAACGCGGTCACCATGCTGCGCTTGAGGCAGTAGTGTTGCCAGTTGTTTTGTTTTTCTGCTTTTTCCGCATCCCACGACGCAAGAGGCCATCTGGCTGCGCATCCGCCATTGGAGCCTTGCTCCTTCAACGGGCGCAAAGCCTTTGAAAGAACTTATCCATGACCCACTCACACCCCTCACTGGGCGGCCTAGCAATTCCGTTCGTTGGGATGTTCCATGTACTGTCTCTCTGTGAAATGGGGGGGGGCATCAGACCATTGCCAGCAAAAGTTTTGCCCAAAAACGCCAGAGGCACGGCAACTTGTTACACCCGCAGGTCGAGAGGGCCCAGACCTTTCTGGAGTCGGTTGAAGCCGGAGGCTTCGGCTTGCCGCCTTCGGGGCGCCTTGAGACACGGTTTGGTTGCGCTCGTGTTGAGTTGGCTTTCTGTTTTGGCTCGTGTTTTGGCTCACACAAGGCGGCTCTGGTGTTGCAACTTGGCCCATAGATGCAGGTCAAAAGCTTCAATGGTATACTTCACTGTTGGGCATCTACTTGTTGTGTTTAATTTCAGAAATCTTGAGCCGCTTTCTCAAAGCGCATCGAGCGCACGGAGTTTGCCGACTTGTTTTTGGCTTCAAGCCTGGAAGCGGCCGAAGAGCTCTGCTGCCTAAAAAATACATCTTTGTTCTACTGCCCCATAAAGGAAGCCTCACAAAAAGAAAGCGCAGGTGTTGAATTTGTTCCGCAAACATATGGCCGCCTGACCCTGGCGACGCCTAAAACGCGACCCGCGTTTTGGGCCCAAAGGCACCGCAGCTTGACATGGCTACGCAGGTCACCCAGTCAACGAGGTCTCGTGGCGCGGCTGCAGAGTTTTTGAAAAAATGGAGCGGGACGCCGTCGTCCTCCATTTGTTTAAGACTTGTTTTTGCCCTTCTTGGTTTTAAAGTGGTCTTCCATTTGCTTGAGATGTTTGTTTTTTTTAAAGGAGGGAGGGCTGAAGCAAATGGAAGTCGTGCCAAAAATGGGGCCCCGTTTTTGGTTGAGTCCAAAACTTCTTGGGACCAAAATACAAGATCTGCTGGTGCCATGGCTGCCAATGTGTCAAAGGCACGATGTACCATGGCCAAATAGGGGTCTGACAGGATCCTTAGAGCAATTGCGTCCTTGAAGGGTTTTTACCGCGGTGGCAAAAGTTGAGCAAAGTGAGGCACATGCAGTTGCGACGTTTGACTGCGGGAAGCCAGACCTCTTGCCGGCGGGTTCCACCTTCAAACTTGTGGAGGAGTACTTGCCAACATGCATGTGCGTCAGCTATTCTGACGCAAAACTTGGTGCCACCAATGGCAACAGGGCATTCACGCGAAGGAAACCATCTCAGGCACAAGGGCCTTTAGGTCGCAACCGGTCATGGCCACGCATAGCTTTGTCCTTTAAGGTATTAGTCCGGGATCACCATGAGGCGTGCTCAATGAACAATGTGCGAGTTGTTTGGGTTTCATGCAACCAAGCCCCGAAGCTTCTCTCAGAGGGGGTGGCTGGAGGTATACCACCGTCATCAAGGGGTGGTCTGAGAAAGGAGCGGGGCGCAAGGCGCAAAGTGCAGCGGGCTTCGGTTTAACCCACGCCACGGCAACTGGAGGGGGAGGGTTGCAAGTCCCCGATAAAGCGACCCTTTCCCACATCTTGCCCCTTTGTTTACAAGGGGGCA